GTGGGCCCTGTGCACTCGCGTTCCGCTGCCATGGCAGCAGGGGAGGGGTAGGGTGGTAGGAGCAGTGGCAGCTCCACCAGCAGCAGCTGCCTCAGTCTGCAGTCGATGATGAGTAGCTTTCTTCACCAGCGCAGTGAGGAAACACGCAGGACCTCAAACAACAGGCTCGGGCCTACTTGGACAGCACCCTGCCAACCGAGGTAGACAATCCCCTTGACTACTGGGCAACGAAACTTGACCTTTGGCCCCAACTAGCTGAATTTGCCCTTGAAAGGCTGTCATGCCCGGCCAGTAGCGTGGCATCGGAGCGCGTGTTTAGTGCGGCAGGAGGTATTGTAACTCCGCGGAGGACACGACTGTCCACCCAAAGTGTGGAGAGACTCACGTTTGTGAAAATGAATCAGGCGTGGATTAGTCTGGATTTCAAACCACCAGTTCCTGACACAACTGACTAAATCCGCCATGAATCATGCCCCAAACATGTTATTATTTTTAACATAGGCCTCTGTATGGCCTTCAATTTAAGCTGCTTACGCTTCGCCACTCTGCCATGGGCCCCTGTACCGCCTCCTCTTGCTGCTGCCAGGTCCAGAGTGTGTCATGGGTCCCTGTACGGCCTCCCATTGCTGCTGACTTCATCGCCAGACTCTGCCATGTGCCACTTTCAGGTCTCCTTACACTGTTGGTGGGTTCCATTTTGTCATAGGGTGCTGGCAGATTACGGGCCTCCCATTGCTGCTGTCAGGCCCGTAATCTGCCATGGGCCCCCGTACCACCTCCTCATGCTGCTGCCAGGTCCAGAGTGTGTCATGGGTCCCTGTACAGCCTCCCATTGCTGCTGTCTCCATCGCCACACTCTGCCATGTGCCACTTTCAGGTCTCCTCACACTGCTGGTGGGTTCCATTTTGTCATAGGGTGCTGGCAGATTACGGGCCTCCCATTGCTGCTGCCAGGCCCGTAATCTGCCATGGGCCCCTGTACCGCCTCCTCATGCTGCTGCCAGGTCCAGAGTGTCTCATGGGTCCCTGTACGGCCTCCCATTGCTGCTGTCTCCATCGCCACACTCTGCCATGTGCCACTTTCAGGTCTCCTCACACTGCTGGTGGGTTCCATTTTTGTCATAGGGTGCTGTATGGCCTCCCATTGCTGCTGCCTCCACCGCCACACTGTGGCTCCACACTCTGGTTTTGGCCCCGTGACTGCCCAAATGAGTGAAGTGTGCGGTGATTCTAAGATCGACGGCACTCATCTGCATGTCATACTGACTGACAGTATTATTTCTCTTCCCCAGCAGACTCCAAGGGCATTTAAATTAAAGGTACAGTGTTCTGCACTAATATAAAGGCTCTCTGAAGCCTAGAAACCCTTTTTATAAGTTAAATTTGCAGCGAATATATTCGCATCGAATCGAATTTATTCCTCGAATTCGCCGAATCAGCTGAATCGAATTTTTGAATACTTCGCTCATCTCTAATCATTAGGTATTTTAGTGGGGTTACAAAAGGAGAATTATACAGAGCTTTTTGAGTTTTCGTCTGGAGAGATACTTTAAGTAGTTGCTGCCTCTGAGGTTATCTCTGAAATATACTATAGTTTTACTGCAACCATGGCAATAATAAATCTGGAGGTTGAAATTGCTTGGCTTCAAAAAAATATGATAACAGCGTAAACAACTGCTAGAAAAATAACAGATATCCTTATTCGACAAGAGACCTTGAAAACTTGTCAGCCAGCAGAATTTGAAAAGAGATAAATAAATTTTTTACAGTTCCTAAACATTTTTATGGGGACCTTGATAGAAAGGTAGTTGTATTTGTCAATAGCCTGATATTTCATATAGTGTCTATCCCATTAGGAGCTGTGTATTTTTCATAACATATGTTTCAATATTGTATATGTAATCATTTTTGCTTTTGTATCATTATGTTTTTCATTCTTTGCAGCTTGGGTTTCTTTGTGTAGTTAAAGCAGTATTAAACCCAAAGGCAAACATTTATTAAATTGCAAAGGTGTTAAAATGTAGTGAGCGCAAAGAAAAAAAAACCTAAAAAACGACAAGCAGCTAGCACAAAATAATGCACACCACGTCATCCACAAAAACAATAAACATATACAGAAAAGTGTAGCGCTGGTGTCTGAATCATATGGTGAAAACATGTAAACACAAAAAATATTCCTGTGTAAAACGTATAATTTACGTGATAGTAAAGAAATATAAAAAAGTCCAAAAGTGAAGTGTCCAACAGTGTTGCTTATTTCAATCATAACCAATGGAATGGGTGACATCTGTGAAGAGTACATCCATGACAATCCTCCACCACTATGCACTTACCAGAAGCCAGAAACAACTGAGCTCTATACAGAAATCCCTCCAGAAGATGTAACCTCACCACAGCAGGAATGGATATGTATCAGATATCAGATGCAACTGGGATCTGTATGGAAATCCCTCTGAAGAATGTGACTTCTCCATTGCATGAGTAGGCTAACAATCTGATGGTGATGGATCCTAGAGAAAAGAGCTCACAGACCGAAGCCCAGGAAAAGTCGCATACAGTGTAGTATTTTATTTTATAAAAAAAAGTTACATCCATCTGGAGCACTTAGAAAGAGAAAGAGCCACACTTACAAATATGGCCGCAGGACCATGGCATGGACTCGGCGGCATGATATCAGCACGTAGGCTCCTCCCTAAATATATTTATTAAATTGCGGCTTACTAATTCTTGGATGTGGTTTTCTTGGTTTTTTGTTTTTCTTTTCTTTATTTTCTCCTGGTGGTCTGGTCAGTAAGTCTGTTGTTTTTCAAAAGAACAAACTCTCCTACAAATGTAGCAGTTAGAGGGATGAGACAAACCATTTACAACCGATGGTGCTGCTTATAATGATCAGCTTTTAATTATTTATGAAAAGTGGAAAAATTGCTTATAAAGTGTGAACTGGAAGTTGGCTTAGGGTCTATCTAAATCTGCTAGTTCACCTAACATTCACCCCCCCCCAGACTGGCAATGCTCCTGTCCAAATGTGCACCCTGTGCTCCTTCATCTAGAGCAGCGGTTCTCAACCTGTGGGTCGCGACCCCTTTGGGGGTCGAACGACCCTTTTACAGGGGCCGCCTAAGACCATCGGAAAACACATATTTTTCAGATGGTCTTAGGAACCGAGACACCGCTCCTCTATCCGTCTCCAGGTGTGGGCGGGGTGACATGCCGCCCCTGTCATCTGGACACACCCCCAGGATCAATCCTCGCCGGTGATTGGCCGCCAGAACTGTAGCTCAGGAGAGGCACACAGGCGGCCAATCACCGGCGAGGAGGTGGAGCTTGGAGAGGAGAGCCGAGCGGCGCTGCGAAGATCGAGCGAGTGAAGAGGAGGAGAGCGGCCGGAGAAGGAAGACAGCTGACCGGTAAGTGTCTGTACCATGGGAGGGGAGGGAGCGAGCGAGCCCAGGGTGGAGCAGGGGTCAGGCAAGATAAGTATCATTGGTGTCAGTGGGAGGAAAGTGCCCAATCATTGGTGTCACTAATACCAATGATGGGGCACTATTCCTCCCACTGACACCAACGATGGGGCACAATTCACCCCCCACCTGACACCAACGATGGGGCACTATTTCCTCACCAATGACACCAACGATGGGGCACTATTCCTCCCACTGACACCAACGATGGGGACAGCCCACTGACCGGATAAGTGGGGGACTCTTCCTCCCACCATGGACACCAGGATGGGGCACTATTCCCTCCCACTGGGATGGGCACTATTCCTCCCACTGACACCAACGATGGGTCAGCAAGATACTATTCCCCAACTGACACCAATCATTGGTGGGGCACTCACTGTGGAGGGGCATATTCCCCCCCTGACACCATGGGGCACTATTCACTGACACCAATGATGGGGCACTATTCCTCCCACTGACACCAACGATGGGGCACTAATTCCCCCCCCCACTGACACCAACGATGGGGCACTATTCCTCCCACTGACACCAACGATGGGGCACTATTCCTCCCACTGACACCAACGATGGGGCACTATTCCTCCCACTGACACCAACGATGGGGCACTATTTCCCCCACTGACACCAATGATGGGGCACTATTCCTCCCACTGACACCAATGATGGGGCACTATTCCTCCCACTGACACCAACGATGGGGCACTATTCCTCCCACTGATACCAGTGATGGGACACTATTCCTCCCACTGACACCAAAGATGGGGCACTATTCCTCCCACTGACACCAACGATGGGGCACTATTCCTCCCACTGACACCAACGATGGGGCACTATTCCTCCCACACTGACACCAACGATGGGGCACTATTCCTCCCCCACTGACACCAACGATGGGGCACTATTCCTCCCACTGACACCAACGATGGGGCACTATTCCCCCCACTGACACCAACGATGGGGCACTATTCCCCCCACTGACACCTATGATGGGGCACTATTCCTCCCACTGACACCAATGATGGGGGCACTATTCCTCCCACTGATACCAGTGATGGGGCACTATTCCTACCACTGATACCAGTGATGGGCACTATTCCTCCCACTGACACCAATGATGGGGCACTATTCCTCCCACTGACACCAACGATGGGGCACACTATTCCTCCCACTGACACCAACAATGGGGCACTATTCCTCCCACTGACACCAACGATGGGGCACTATTCCTCCCACTGACACCAACGATGGGGCACTATTCCTCCCACTGACACCAACGATGGGGCACTATTCCTCCCACTGACACCAACGATGGGGCACCAACGATGGGGCACTATTCCCCCCACTGACACCTATGATGGGGCACTATTCCTCCCACTGACACCAACGATGGGGCACTATTCCTCCCACTGACACCAACGATGGGGCACTATTCCCCCCATTGACACCAACGATGGGGCACTATTCCCCCCACTGACACCTATGATGGGGCACTATTCCTCCCACTGACACCAATGATGGGGCACTATTCCTCCCACTGACACCAATGATGGGGCACTATTCCTCCCATTGGCACCATTGATGGGGCACTATTCCCCCCCACTGACACCTATGATGGGGCACTATTTCTCCCACTGGCACCAATGATGGGACACTATTCCTCCCATTGACATCAGTGATGGGACACTATTCCTCCCACTGACACCAATGACGTGGCACTACTGCTCCCACTGCAAAAATTACAGTTATGAAGTAGCAACGAAAATAATTTTATGGTTGGGGGTCACCACAACATGAGGAACTGTATTAAAGGGTCGCGGCATTAGGAAGGTTGAGAACCACTTATCTAGAGTGTCACTACCCTAATACAGGAGGTGTATTACTGGCCAGGTGAAAACAAGTGGGAAAAGCAAAAAAAAAAAAACAAATGCAGCCACCACATCTACGGATTGGTAAACAAATAGATTACATTTTTGGCTTTGGGTTTAATACCGCTTTAATTACTATGACCAAAGAATAGAGGAGCATTAGATATGATCTAAACAGAGGAAAACCAATGGAGACAGATAACCTTTGTTCTATATTTTTGTGCAGCAGAAGGCATAATACCCATTTTTTTAACGACATAAAAAGATTTAAATATGGAGAATCATGGACACATACACTGTGTGCACAATTATTAGGCAAGTTGTATTTTTAAGAGTTAATTTCATTATTGAACAACTACAGTGCTCTTGGTCAAACCAAAATGTTAATAAACCTCAAACCTGAATATTTAAGAAAGTAACAGTGAGCTTTTGGCTTTCTTAGCAGAATATCTATGTGTGCAAAATTGGGCAACTATTAGTGTTCAAACTTATTATGCAGCTAATTGAAAAATGAAAAATGTTCCCATCTCACTTGTTTATTTTCATCTGTTAAAGTAAGAATAATAAACAAACAACTCAAAATTTACAAATAAATATTTCTGATATTAAAAAAAAACATAAAACAGTGACCAATAAAGCCACCCTTCTTTTTAATAACAGTCATAAGCCTTCCATTCATGGAGTCTGTCAGTTTCTTGATCTGTTGACGATCTAATGACAATGTAAATCTCCCATTTAACCACTTCAGCTGCGGAAGATTTCCCCCCTTCATGACCAGGCCATTTTTTACTATTTGGCACTGTGCTTTTTCAACTGGTAATTGTGTGGTCATGCAATGCTGTACTTAAACAAAATTTATGTTCTGTTTTTCACACGAATAGAGTTTTCTTTTGGTGGTATTTTATCACCACTGTTTTTTTTTTTTTTTGTGATATAAATGAAAACATTGTGAAAAAACCCTATATATTTTGCTTTTGGCTATAAAAATATCTAATAAACTCAAAGTTAGTCATA